GCACCAGTTGCGCCTCGGGCTCCGCAGACGCCGGGGTGGGCGCCGCCGCACCCCGCGCTCCGAGTGGCACGCTCCGTCCCTCCCCTCGCTCGCTCCCCGCCCCTTGGTGGCTCCCAGGCCGCCGCCGCCGGGCCGAGAGCTCCCCCTCCCTGTGGCTCCGCTCAGTAGCCTCCCGGCTGCAGCGTCCCTCCAGGGCGGGGCGCTCTCGCCAGCCGGCGCGCGCTCGGGGTTCCCCGGTCCCCCGCTGCTGCGGAGCCACCTGCCATGACTCCGGCCCTAGCACTGCGCAGCCGCCGCCTGGCTGCGATTTCGCAGCTCCTTCCTAGACATGGGATTTTCCTTTTTCTTTTTTTTTTAAATGCAGTAGTGCGAGCAGGGCGCCCAGCGTGGGCTCCAGACACGCAAAGTCCCCGGCGGACGCGCACACGCTCTCGCACCCACGCGCGCACCGCGCAAATTACCTCATCCTCAGACATCCATCAAAGATGCAGAAGCCACGCCCCCGACGCCTCCGGCGGGAGCCCGGGAGCTCAGCCGCCCCCTGCTGGCCGGCCTAAGCGACTCCTGGGCGGATGAATGGTTGCATGAGCCCGGGTTGTTGGGTTTTTTTAATTATTATTGTTAATATTGTTATTATTATTATTATTATTATTATCATAATCATAATCATCGTCATCATCATTATTATTATTATTTTGGTTTTTTTTATTATTATTCTTGTTTATTATCATTATTATTATTATTTGCATTTACGGGCTATGCATCGGAGAGCGGGACAGTGACTAGGGATGATAGAAACAGAATTGATGCCTTTGAGCTGTGGTGCTGGAGAAGAGTGTTGAATACACCAAGGACTGCTAGGAAAACAAACAGGTTTGTCCTAGAGAGGGTGAAACTGGAGTGCTCCTTGGAGTCAAGGATTCTGAAGCTTCGTCTGACATATTTTGGGCATGTTGCACGGAGGGACTGCTCCTTGGAGAAGGATGTCATGTTTGGGAGGGTGGAGGGACAGTACAAGAGAGGATAGATTGAGATGGATTGATTCTGTGACTGGGGTGGTGGGAATGAGTGTGTTGGAGACGGTGAGGTTGGCATAAGATAGAGCAGAGTTTAGGGCTCTTGTACAAAGGGTCGCTATGAGTCGCAAGTGACTCGATGGCACATAACAACATTACTATTTTTCCCCTGCTCTGGTTACTTTTACAGAACTCCAATCTCTTTAAGAAAAATTATCAGTGCAAATGTTTGCAGGGATTTGGATTTGATGGAGTTACATTCTTTATGAATGAAGCCTGGAGTTAGCTAAAAGAATTGACTATAGGGAGCTCTGGTGGCTTAGTATTAAGGAGTTGCACTGCCAACTCAAAGGTACACGGCTCTAATCCCCCAGTTACTCAGCGGGAGAATGATGGGAAATCTCCTCCCATGAGAGATTTCCTGCCTGTGAAATCCTACTAGAGGGTCAGCTCTGACTTGGTTCCGATTTGATAGTACATAACCACACCAACCAAGTAAAAGACCAAATCTGTCTTGGAAGAATTGCAACCAAGGTGTTCCTTAAAAAATGGTGAAATTTCATCTTACATGCTTTGGGCATGCTTCAGGACAGTCTAGTCCTTGGGAAAAGACATCACGCTGGGAAAGGTAGACAATCAACAGTAGAGAGGACCACCCTCAACTGGATGGATTGACACAGGGACTTAAACAATGGGCAAACGTGGCAGAGATTGTGAATCTCTGCAGGGCAGGGTGTTCATACCTGTTGCTCACGGGGTCACTAAGAGTCATAGTCTGGACAGCATCAAGCAACAGTGTACATGGAATAAATATATTCTTTCTAGTCAATTTAACACAATCATAGGTTGACTCTGACTTATAGGAATTTATGGACAACAAAAAGAAACCCATCTACATCCTGCCTCACCTTCACAAACTTGGTTAAGGTCAAATCCATTGTCACAGTTATTTTGTCAATCCATCTCATGAGTGTTGATCATGGATCCAGGTAAAATCCTGGAAACTCCTATCTTTTCTCTATCATGATGTTTCCTCTTGGCCTAGTTGTGAGGATTTATGTTTCCTTGATGTTGAGGTATAATCTATATTTAAGACTATATAATCTCTGAGCTCCGTCAGTAAGTGCTTGAAGTCATCTTTTCTGCAAACAAGACTTGTAAAAATAAGTAAAAGATAAGGAAGAGGAAGGAAGGAAAGAAAATGACACTGTAATAAGAAGAATGGGTTGATGATCAACCATTTTAAGAAGCAGCAATAAGATTTAAAAAGCTGGTACTATTGAAAGAAGTCCAAGTTATACTAGAGGTGTTGGTAAAAACCCAAGGTTCCAGAAATTGTTGGAATTCCAATTGAGATGTTTCAACACATGGATGCAAAGCCAGAAATGCTCACTCATCTATGTAAAGAAATTTGGAAGACAATTAGCTGGGCAAAGCCTGAGAGAGATCCATAGTGAAGTCTTTTCCAAAGAAAGGCAATCCGAGTGCAGAGATTCTAGAACAGCGCTATTAATATCACATGCAAATGAAATTTCGCTAAAGACACAACAGAATCGATTACAGTGGTACATTGACAGGGACTATCATAAATATCAACTGGATTTAGAAGAGGATATGGAACAAGGGTTATCACAGTTGAAGGACGATGTATCATCACTGAGATCAGAAAGCACCAGAAAGACAATCACTTCTATTTTATTGAGTTTGCCAAGGCAAACTCTGATCTGTGTGGATCATAGCAAATGTTGTATAATATTGCAAAGAATGAGAATTCCAGAACACTTAATTATGCTTATATGTAACATAGATATGTATCAAGATAGCTCTGGTGGTTTAGCTGGGAGGAAGCTTTGCTGTTAACAGAGAAGTTCCTACCTCTCCTTGGCTCTGAATCCACCAGAAGTTCTTCAGAAGAAGAATGGACAGTCTCCTCCCATATGATTTTCAGCCGTGGAGACCCAAGGGAGTGTCTGCTATGAGCAGGTTCTGATTTGACAGCCATGAGTGAGTGAGTGAACCCCAGGGAGTGTCAGCTATGAGTTCATTCTGATTTGACAGCAATAAGTAAGTGATACTTATATCAAGAGGCAGTCATGTGGAAAATCCGGAAGCTCAAGCATGATTTAAAAATCAGGAAAGGTCTGCATTGCAATATATTTGTGCAATGTACTCAATCTATCTGCATGCTGAATGAATAATCTGAGGAGCTGGGCTGCGTGAAGAGGAACACGACATCTAGGTGGGAAGAAGATTTATTTACAACCTGTGTTAGAAAAAGGATATAACCTTGCTTGCTGGAAGCCAAGAGGACTTGAAGCACTTATTGATGAAGATTAAGGATACTTTAGTATGGACTGCTCCCCAGCATAAAAAACCCAAAAATCCCCACAGCTAAATCAGTCAACTCTATCATGATAAATAAATACTGCCTTTGCCAACGGTGTGATTTTCCTTAGATCCCTCCTCAGTGGCCATGAAAGCAGCAGTCAGTAAATCAAACGGCATATTGCACTGTTCAGATGTCTGGTAAAAAGATCTCTTAACAGGTTACCAAGCAATGATGTTCTTTTCAGGACTCAGGTGATCTTGACCCAGACAGTGGTATTTAGAATTGCCTCATATACAAGTGAAACAGACAGTTAAGAAGGAAGACTGAAGAACTGACGCCTTTGAATTACGGTGTTGCTGAAGAATACTAAATGCACAAAAGACTTCCAGAAGAATTAACACATTTTTGGGGGGCAGTGAAGCCACAACCTTCCTTCAAAGCGAGGATAGTGAGATTTCATCTTGCTTATTTTGCATGTGCCTAGGAGGGAACAGTCCCTGGAAATTGACATGTTGGTAAAATGATGCATCACTGATGAATCAACACAGTAATTCTGCAACAATGACACTAACCCAAAGCTCAAGCTTCTCTGATTGGTTTGAATCCAGCCTCCACTTCATAAGGGACAGATGGACAGTCTCCTCCCACGTGGTGATTTACAGCCTTGGAAACAGGAGGGTTAGCTTGAGAAAAAAACTACCTTGAAAGGCAATGACGTTGGGTGGTCTTTACTGTTCTATAACATTTTGACATGAAAATGATAGTTATGTATGAGCCAATGTGTGTGACGAATGTTTTTGCCCTCTTTGGAGCAAAAGAGAGAATTGAGATTAATTGGAATGAAACAGTCTTAATTGTTAAAAAAAATTGCTCGATTGTTCAAAGTGCTACCTCCAAAAAATGTGATTGTTGCTTAGGAGGAGGGGAAGCAAGGTGGCTGTAACTTTACATACCAAGTATTGATTAGCATAGAGGTCCTGGAGTTAAGTCTTTTTATTTATGAGCGATAGACTTTATATGAGCCTAAAGAATACTTTGAATGTGTGTTGGTTATCGACAGCTGCCCACTTAATTGTCTGTCATCCTAGAACTTGTAGATTAATAACTGCATATCTACTATCTCAGGGCTTATGTGGATCAAGGTTGCTGGTGCAGATCAGCGGGGTTCCTCTGCCTTCAGGTGCCACATAAAGATGCAAACACTTTATAATCAAGGCTGTGATGTCATCTGAAGGCTTGCTGAGATCCTCTTCAGGAAGCACAGATGGCCCAGCCTTCTTCTGTCTATGTTGTGACAGAGAAGGAAAGTTAATGGGCC